CTTTGCTGGGAAAAAACGAAAATTCCTCAAGATTGGGGGAGAGACCCACCCGTCCTCCCCCCCATTCGCGACAGCCCTGGTTGCTACTTCAATTATCATTGAATAGAACATTTTGATATTAACCCGGATGTCAGATGGCGTTAGTTTTACTGCATCTTTTACGTGCCTTAAAATAGTTTTAGAAAATTTATTGGAAATATGCCATTTTAATATGAGTTTTTTGAATTTGACCGAAAAAAACCACTTCTAAAACTTCTTTACGGTTTTTCTCAGAACATGATTTCCAATCAGAAAAATTGGAACTCCTCCCTCATTTTTCGAGTTATTACCAATATTTTTTTTTTGTTTTGTTTTAAAGGTCTTGATCAGAGTAAACTTTTGTCCGAACGGATTTTTGAAAGTTGGTTCCTGGGCTGAGAAAAGTGGAATTTACTGTCGTTGGACTACCATTTTTTATGCTAATTTTGAGACCCTCGCACTAAAATGCTCATAAAAAATAAATAGGACGGAATATCAAAATTCTGTTCGGATAAAAGTTGTGTACTGACATGTATTTTAATTTGAAACCAGCTCGAGCTCTCTACCTCTTCTTATGACGCAGTTATATCAATTCTTCTGAAGCCCAAAAATGTCTCATGAATCAGTTGGAAATCCTGTCTAGTATGATCAATCGAGCTGAAATTTTTACCAGGAGCGTATCTCTCCAAGATCAGTCATCTCTGAAAATTTCAGCATGAAAAGACCATCAAAAGTGGAAAATCGTTTCTGAGGGGATCCCCTTAATTATCAAAATAATCATCGACTATATGCGTTTCAAAAAAAAAAAAAAATTTGGTAAATGTCTCTTATTAAATCTTTATCTTATATTGGAAATAGATAATATTGCAGAAACAATAGAACAAGTCTACTAATTTTTCTAAATAAATAAAAAGAATAAAAAATGTTGGAATTAATTGTAGAAACAGAGAAAAAAAGCACATAGATCATAATTTTCTTAATTTATATCTCAATAATACGAAACCACATGTGTATGAATCATCAAATAAATATCGAATACACTACAAGGGACCACATCTGATTTGAGTGAAATCGCCAAAAAAAACAAAAAAATCTCACTGAAATGTATTAAATCACAAGACATATTTACTGATATATTTAACTTGCACAAAAATTCAGTTTTACGTAAACGATGTTGGTACTCTACAGTCAATGTGACCATAGTTCAACCAATTATACTTGAAAATAAATACATAACAAAATATGTTGCTAAGTGTATCCTTTTCAATAAGTGTATATCCCTGATTTTAGCTCGCCAGAACAATTTAGCATAATTCGTTGGAAAAATGTTCCATAGAATATGATTTACGATTGACGAGAGATAACAACTTAAAAAGGTATTCTAATCTGAATAAAGATCAAAACAAAATGACTTTCAATAAGAACATAAGTACAGATTTTAATAGAGCAAAGAAAATATCCAATAATACATGATAAGCTTGATTTTAAAGGAAAACTATTCGACATTAAACTATATCCGATTATTTTTAGGTAAAGATCGATTAGATTTTCATAAAATTATGGATAATTATTTATTAAAATAAAATGAAGCCTCATTTTTGTTTAAAACAATGCATAGAAAAGCAACACTAAATTGAAATAATATAATAATTTTAATATATTATTAATTTAAATCGATTTAAATGTAATTCTATCCCAAACTAATCTATATATATAAAGAAGAATGTTCGTCTGTCTGTCTGTCTGTTCTTCATACATTTGGACACGGTACGAGCAAATGCAACGAAACTTTTCAGAGACCATCCTCTCATCCAGGAGGAGGTCAACGGCTACTTTTTGTCGAAAAAACATCGGCCCTTTACCTGCAACATGTCCGCCTATGTATCTGACCAATGAGATTGCAGCATTCGGTAGTGTCGGAGAACTACTGAGCAGTGCGTTGTGAGCAAGCACAAGACATGTACCTAAAGGTTTTCGAGGGTGCTGAGCTCGAATCTGCGGCCCATTTACTTCGAAATCTTATTGGTTGGCCGAAAACCAATAGGAATTCAGCTGCGAAGAAAACGGACAAAAACATTTACACTTTCGGGAAAACGATGAGATAGGGGCTTTTAGAGGCGGTGAGTTCGAATCTGGAGTCCATTCGCCTCGAAATCCTATTGGTTGACCGAAACCAATAGGAATCGAGTTTTTGGGAAAACGAATATCATTGGATTATCGGAGGAAGGACATTAGGAATCGGAAGTATATTGAGCTCGATGCCCTGTCGGAGCACCTGTGGCCTTACTGAGTGACCCATGTCGCACACACAAATCGAGTTTTGGGAAAATTGGTTTCCTAGGAGTCGTGTGAGGCAGGGATTTCGAATAAATAGTCCATGGGACGAAAAATTTGTTCGTCATAGATATTGTCTCCTTAGGTTGCTAAAGAGTCTGTCCACAAAAATCTTTCTGTCTTTCTTTGCAACCAATCGGAATTCAGTGTGATTCCAATAGTACAAAGTGTGATATATCGTCGTTATTCTCCCGATCAATGGATATTGTGAACGCGACATTCTAGATCAATTAGATGTGTCGTCGCGTTTAGTTTCGATCAAAACGGTTTTTTTTTGCAACGCTGTCGAAGAATCGATTGTCCATGTAAGTTCCCCACTCGAAAAACAGCTCCGGAACCGGGAACGTGACCAAGCGTGACCGAGGCCAATTGAGATCGGGGATGATCGATACAAGTATGTGCTCTTATAAATGCTGGGCCAAGATAAAAACTCGATAGAACTCATAAGTTTCATCAAGCTGTTCTAGATTTAGACGTGTAAGAAAAAGAATCCTTCACCTCTGATCAATTTTTCAATATCAGTATTTCATATCCACCGAGAGCAAGAGTACCCGGAATCGAGAATTAAAATACGTTCAAGAGCCAAGATCAAGACCGGGATAAAAAATAGGATTTTATACGTGTTTACTCCCTACTGATTAGATTTTCTTACATGTTCTCGAGCACAATAGGAGTTTGGCTTGCATATATGAAGATTGAACTTTCCCGGACAACGCCGGGTACTTCCGCTAATCTTCTATAAGAAACGAGTGAAAAGCGTCGTTTTACATTTCAAATTCGTTTATTAATAAAACATATGAGATTTTATTTATTTATTTTTTTTAATGAATATGTTGAATTTCAATAAAATATCTTAGGTTGTTTCATCCTTCTATGTTCTATTATTTAGGAGAAAAAAGCTCGACTTTATTTTGAAAAATAGAGGAAGAAAGAATTTCAATGATCGAAATCATTATGGAAAATGATTTCATAAAACATAAAACAAGCAACAATAATAATCGATTACAATAATAAATTTCAGTTAAAACGTAAATCATCATAGTGAGTTATAAAGAAAAAACAAGATTCTTTTCTTTTTGTTTATTCAAAGAAATTTCTTCAATAGAAGTTAACTATCGATTTAAATCATCTGAATTATAATAGAGAATATCATTGTTAAGTTGTTTGTGTTCAATTGCCATTCTCAGTAAATAGATGACGAAATTAAAAAATCGATTTGTTATTCAAACATTTTCAATTATTTAATAGAGTTAAAACAGTCAATAGAAAATAAAACCTTGTTGAAGTTCAAAAAACTGAACCTTTTTCTTTGAAATGGATCTCAATCGATAACTAACTGTTCAATAAGCATTGTTAACTAGTTTGATTTAAAAAAAAAAGTTATTTATTATGAAAATATATCAGAATACAAAGTAGATAGTGGGGTGTCACAAAAGAAATTACATAAAAAAAAAAAGAACAAAATTACATGACTAGAAGGTATAAGTCTAGTTTATGTAAACACCTTTGTTTTGCTCTCACCCTTCCCCCCCCCCCCCCCCCCCCCCCCCGCAAAAACAAAGGTGTTTACATAACTAGGCTTATACTGAAGAGCATCGATTGTTCGTCGAGAGGCCTGATGAGTCTGAAGAAACATGAGATAAATTATTTGATAGTAATGCTGTAGCAGGAGGATCGATGCCATCATTTAATATATCTTCACTGCAATCATAATAGTTAATTACTGAAAGTATATTTCATGTTGTATTTGTTTCAAATATCCGTTCATAACTGATATTAAATGACATAACTATGATTCCTCGATTAGTTTCAATATCCCATTTAATACTTATTCGTGAAGCAATTAACTAATACATTCAATTAAAGTTAATGATTCACATATAAATGATTCACTTAATTTAATATACTACCATTAATGTCATTTCACATAATAAGCATATTTTGTTGCTAACATTTTTGTTTTTATTTGGTTTTGCTTTTATTATATTCTTGCGCATTTATCTTCAACATTTATTGTTGTTTCATTGATTCATGTGTTCGAGATAACATCCACCCAGAATAGAAGCATAGGGGATGCCCTGTTCCGTAAAACTTGGCTTTCTAACAAATTTTGTTTCCTTGCCACTTCTTGTGTTATTTAATATAAAAGTCTTCATTCTTTCATTTTTCATGGATTTGAGTTCATTTATGGGGGCGGAAATTTAATATACGATTTTGTTTAATATAACGTGGTATTTTTTCACACTTCGTATCACCATCTGAACTATATGTTGTAGACAAATATCTCCACGTATACAGATCATCATCTTTAACATTGATAGAACGTAGTAATGGAAATCTAAAATAAAGTGTACAGTACACTCTGTTTTTAATGAGCAAAGTGTACAAATAAAGTTGTTTTTATGCGCAAAATGTACAAAATGTACAACGTTGAAGTTTCACATAAAAAAAAAGACGAGAAATGTTCTTATCTTATATTTATCAATTAAAAAAAAGATCAGATATAGATAAACAACAAGAGAACAAGGAAAAAAAGTTATTTCTATCTGATTCACTAAAGAAGATTTATCACATAAAAATAGAAAACTAGTACCACATAAACAAGAGCAACTTATATTTACTATTTCAAATTTCAATATCATCATCAGTTAATTTGGTTCATCATTATTATCATCGTCGTGCATATCAATATGATCTGAGGAAAACCAAATCGAATCTGTTGTGATTTTCAATTTTATTCTGCACCCATTACATAACCACCTGGAACAGTTCTCATCATATTCAATCCATTCAAATTGATCATCCTGATGGCAGCATTGTATAGCTTCTTTTTGTGTTGGATCATCTCCAGAAATACTTGTTTTACACCCGTTTGCACCTAAAAAACGACTCCGCAATATCTAGAAAGATGCATATCTAAAGTCTTACATTTAATTGCTTTTGATTTCAAGTTTTTCGACTTCTTGCACCTAATTTGAGATCCGATAAAAGACGCACGTCTTTTAGCAACTGAACGAACTTGCTTCACCGGTTGATAATCATCACTGACATCTCCCAACACTTGAATTTCATGAAGACGACGTCGACAATCTTTAGAGTTCCATGATTTGAATGCTTCTGTTACAATATATTGACATCTAGCACTACAAATCAATACCTAATACATGAATTAAACATCAAATGATTACTTTATCTTACCTTCTAATATCATCCTTTAGAAGCATTCGCACTGTCATAAGTGTATCCAATGTTGATATCATCAACCGAGATCTTCCGATTGTCTGAATGCGATTCATAGCTGAAAACTAAAAAAGACAACAATGTGACATGCAGTGGTGAAAATATGAACTGCAGCATACTCCTCGTTCGCATTCAGCTGAATTTGTTGATGAAGTAAGATAAATATTGAGCAAAATCAGTATATTTTTATATTCACGAAGGAGATGATTATTCGTCGATTGTTTTAAAGCAACAAAAGTTTTCCAAAATAATTTATCTGTATTGATAGATGAGGAATTTTGTATAAAGTCACTTATACAGGACTTAAGTGACTCCCACTCATGTCTAAATGCATTAGAATCAAATCTCGGAAAATTTTTATATTTTCCGCGAAGAAAATTTAATTGAGATCGACCATAATCAATGGAATCCAACAATGTTGAGGATCAAATAATATAGATAAGCTTTCTTGTACGATAGAAGGCTTAAAACGTTTATCTAATTGTTGAATCAATCGTTCTACATGTTCACGACAATCTTTTCGAAACTTTTTTCTATCACCTAATTTGATTTTAAATCCATCAAAAGATCCTGATTCTGTAGATTCGATGTAATCACATAAAGCTGGTCCCATAATCGATGATGATTCAGATGCCCAGCAACTCAACATTTTTCTTTTTTCAGCTATAGTTTCCATCAAATAAAAATATGAAAGGTTGTCGTGTTGCATAATTTTAGTTATAGAACCTGAGATTTTCAAACAAAAAAATATCAAGAAAATTGGAGATCTTTTCGTCGACATATTTGTTAAATATGGGAGCTTACTTAGTACTATTTCATGTAGATCATGATGCATATGCAATAGAAATAAAAATTCATCTTCTAAAATCGAGTTTAATAAACTTTTAGCATTTTCACGTTCTGTATTAGATGCATTGGTGTCCAACATAATTTGTTGAAGACAAGTTAAAAGTGCTTGTGAACCTAAATGAAACAAATTCTTATCATAGGTTTTTGTAATCGTTCAGTATCTAAAAACCTGGATAAACATTATCGACAATTGGCTTAATACAACCACTGATAGATGACCATCTAATATCAAATATTTTTTTCATTTTTATTTCTGGCATTTCCATAAATGCCTGCCAAGATTTCAATCTAAACTGGCGATTACTGTTTCTTCCAAAATAATTGTAAATGTCAGTAAGTGTCGTTTCTAGTTTAACAACAGACTCAGCACGAATTGGTTTTTGAGTATCTGAAAACAACGCTTAAATTTCGAAGTTTAGATACAAAAATTACATACGGATAGACTTTTGTAAATATGATGCTTCACCACCAACAAGTGCGAATGAATGAGCAACACATGGAGTTGATTCTAACCATTCTGCAGATAAATGACGCTTGAGTTTTGCAATAACACCTTCGTGAATGTCTAAAACAATTCATCGCATTGTAAAAGACTCAATTATAAAGTAGCATGATACTTACCAGTAAACGTTGCTGCATTATCCGTAGCTAACCAGCAAGAGTCAGTTGGATGAAGACCATCCTTTTCCCACATGCTGGTTAAGGCTTTAATAATATTACCAGCACTACCATCACCATCCAAGTTTATCACCCCATAATATGCTGTTTTAGCCTCATAATTTTCAACATAATGGACATCAATGATACAGGATTTTTCAGTAGTTCTGGATGTTGATTCATCCAACATCCATCCTGTTATATAAAAAAATCAAGATTAATATTAACCAGAGGTATCTAAAGGCAACATACTCAGAGAAGTACTGTTCTTTATCTTCTCAATTAAATCTTGATGTAAAACAGCAGCAATATGTTGTAGAAAACATAACGCAGCTGTATCATTTCGATAAGTTACTCCTGAAACTTCAGCTGGTAGAAGATTTACTCCTAGTTTTTCAAGCAAAATACACAATGGCTCAATATTGTTCAGAGGATTATCATTTTGACAAAGATAAATGCATGAAATCATTAGATTCTGCACACACTGTTCATGTTTACTGAATTGTTGCTGTTGAGTTTTATACCAATCAGGTTGAGCTTATGAAGAAATTATCAATTCAAAGATGTCCTTGCTCAGAGTATTAAAGAAAATATTAGGTTGTTAACAAAGTTTTTGCGTTTTTTTTTTAAATTTTCTAAAACATTCGAGAAAGTTCTAGAAGTTTCCATACTAAGGGTATATAAAGGGAGAGTGAATATCTTTCGAATGATAATAAAGCCATCGATATGGACGCTGATCATGAACTGAAAATGAATCTTTCTCGTAGAGAGATTCGAGTGCTTTTACTTCATGAATTCCGTCTTGGTCACAAAGCAACGGAAGCAGCCAACAACATATGCAGCACGATGGAGGAGGATGTACTCTCTACTCGTACGGCACAACATTGGTTCAATCGCTTTAAGAACGGTAACTCAGAACTCGACGATTTACCTCGGTCCGGTAGACCACTGGAAGTGGATGTGGATCTCTTAAAGCAGCTTATCGAACAAGGTCCTCGATTGACTTTATGGTGCTTAGCAGAGCAGCTTGGGTGCTCTTATGTTGCAGTGGAAAAACATCTGAACGAATTGGGCAAGACATGGAAATATGGAGTTTAGATACCCCACGAGTTATCACCACATCAGCTACAACACCGGGTTGATGCTTGTATGGATTTAATGACATCTCACCGCAACTACCAATGGCTCCGCAATCTTATCACTGGTGATGAGAAGTGGGTGTTATATATTAACTACACGCACAGACGCCAGTGGCTTAGCGCTGGTCAGAGAGGCGTAGCAACACCTAAGTCTGATCTGCATCCCAAGAAGGTGATGCTGAGCGTTTGGTGGGGCGTCAATGGGATTATTCACTGGGAAATTCTTCCAAATGGTTGTACCATCACTGCTGATCTCTACTGTCAACAATTGGACCGGGTTGCCGAAAAACTCAAGGGAAAGCAGGATCGAATTTACTATTTGCATGGCAATGCCCGACCCCATGTTGCAAAGTCGACCTGCGAAAAATTATTGAAGCTCGGATGGATTACCGTTCCTCATCCACCTTATTCTCCTGACTTGGCACCAACGGATTACCATTTGTTTCGTTCTCTTTCTCATCATTTGCGTGAGAAAAAGTTCGACGACGACAACGACGTGAAAATGGATATCGCCAACTTCTTTGGTCAAAAGTCCAAGGACTTCTACGAACGCGGGATCCTATCTCTGCCAGAGCGTTGGCGACAAGTCATAGATAGTAGTGGTGCATATATAACTGAAAGCTAGTTGTATTGTTGAAGTTAAAAAATAAAAATAAAATTTTGGAAAAAAAACGCAAAAACTTTGTTAACAACCTAATAGTTAAAAAGTATTCTTTAAAGCTACAGATTTATGTTGAAGCGAGAATATATTGTCTTCTAATCTTATATCTTACCATTCGTGTTTTTGGTTTTACCAAACTTTTCACATAACCTACAATGCATCGAGTTATTCATGTAATACAACCAACATGAGAACTTTTCTTGTCGTTCACCACAATGATCAAATATATACGTTTTGTATTGTGCATCAGTTAATAATTCCCAAGAAGGTTTGTATTTTGTACGGTGGTTAGAACGAACAGGTTTTATTTTCTTATTGGAACATTCTTTAACACCAACTGATGAATTTTTATTTTGATCGTTTTTTGAACTTAATGATTCATTACATGATGGTTCATTAATAATTTTAATTTCATCTTCATTTTCAGCATCATTTCTAACTACAAGTCCATTTTCAACTTCAGCTTCCTCACCAACTGTAACTTCATTACTAAATATAAATTCATTTTCACAGGTTCTTGTTTGTGCTTCAACAGTTTTTAATGATGGAAATGAACTCGACGGTAACATATGAATTTCATTTTCTGTTGGATGTGTAACACAATTATTCGAAGATTTTTTTTTATTCCAAAATACATCTAATTTTAATTGTAAATTGTTCATTTATAATACACCTAAAGTAAAATTAAAAATAAACTCTGAACCTAAAATAATAACTATGTTGTAACAAACAATGAATTAAATCTGAAAAAAAAATACACAATAAACTTAGAAAAGGAAAACTGATCACATTTAACGAATGACTGAACAAATGAAAAGAGGTCACCATCTGCGCCTTGTGTGAACATAATTTTTAGTACTTCAAAATTTTTTTCGGCAAAGTGTACAGCAGCGTGTATTTTTGCATCTGCAAATGTTTGTACATTTTGCTTCCGCTGTGTACACTTGCCGTTAGAAACCCTGATGTTGAATAAATTAATTTTTATGATCGAAGTGCGTTTTTGTTAGCGTTTGAGCTATTCCCAGGGCAATGAATACGACTATCCTCATTTACATCGTAACTTCGTTGAATACAGCCGTTTTTGGTCTGGAACTGCATGTAAACAGACAGTATTAACTCGTACACACTAAAAAAAAATATGTGTCGCAAACGAACACCTCATGTCGTATTTCTTGCATTCTCCGCTGGATATATATAGCGAAGATCGCAAGAAATGCGACACGAGATGCTCATTGTCACACATGTGACACATTTTATTTTAGAGTGTAATATTGAGTAAAGTAATACGACTTCGTATACGAGGACGTTTACGTTCCATAAGTTCATTATGATGGGACCATATATCTGTGCCTGACAGCACAGCCGTATCTTTCGATCTGCATTCTTAATTTCATCGGATACAGATGCTGAACAAAACATTTGAATTGTTTGAGTAGTTTTCTTAGCTTTTTATTGTGTCCACTGGAAATGATTTTTGAAAATTTTCTTTTTCATTTATTTTGTTTTTTCGATCACTTTTCGGTTTCATCGTTTTTCATACTATCCAAGTGGGCCGTTCCGGACTCCGTAAACAATCGTTTACGACCGTATTGATCGTATATATGACATATAAAATTCGTACACAACCGTATTTGACCGTATTACATCACCCGTTTGAACATCTATATTCACTATTCCATATCACGAACATCACAGCGATTTAGTCAGTTTTTGTAAAATCAGTAAATAAATCGTGAGTTTTCTGCTATATTGCGATAGTAACAAGTCCAAAAAGTTGCCGACTAATCATACACTGAATCGCGATTAATAGCACAATTAATCCGCAAGTTTTTTCGTCTTGTTACTGTGAGAAAGAAGCAGGATAATGTCGATTTTTCGTTTATGTATAATTTAATTGACTCATCCTATAGTAAGACAATTTTCAAAAAATATTCTCGAGATATAAAAAGATCAGTAGTTTATTAGAATAATTTTTGTTTAATATCATTTTCGGTTTATTTGTTTAATTCATCATAAGAATATATGCTGTTAGAATAAGCAGACGTATCATTAATCTGAGGAAGAAGAAAAAAAGTAATGGCTGAAAAGTGGCGCCATCACAGAAAAATAGACGAGTATTATATTAGACGCATATCATTTGTTGCCGCGCTAACAAACGAACAAATTGAGTTGATCGAAAAAGGGTCGAGATAAGCTACATATACACGCTACATACAATATTGTATGTAACTTATCCTTAGCAGTTTGAACCAATAGAATCACGATCCATTTTTTACTTTCGTCTATCCATCAAATGTTTGACATGACTTGTGTGTTTGTTGTATAAAAAGAAATAAGATTTGTAAAAGACGAGCTACTATTTTATAAAGAATTTTCCTATATTATTAAGATTAATACTAATACCATCTAATATAAAATATTACTTTCACTAAAATTGGTAAAAAATGACGGTCTTAGAAGAAACAAAAAATTTATTTTGAGCTGAGTCTAGTTATCGTTCTAAATTGAAAATAAGCAAAAATATGTTTAAAACATATTCGAAATCATTTGTTATGATCTTCTAATAATAAAACTGTGATATATCTGGGATAGAAACTAATATTTTTCCCCAACAAAATAAACAGATCATTATTGAATTACGTATCATTATGAAATCATATCAGCTTCTTTGCAAATTTCGGTTTCATGAAAACAGAACGAAAATTACTTCGCTAGAAACAATTGTAAAAATTGAACAAAAATTATAAATTATCGCTGACGGATATAGTTAAGTTACCAAGCAAAATTTCAAAAATCGACTTTTGAGCTAGAAACTTTCGTTCTTTTTATCCGTCTTCGAACGAACAAATTTTTATATAATTTTTGTTCTATGATCTTCTTTGTTCTGATTCAGGAGCATCTTTTCAAATCTGACAGATGCTATTCAATGAGAATTAAAAAGACGAAAGAACAAAAATGTTAAAAAATTAGACATTTTTTTTCAACTATAATCAAATTAATCTGGCTTTATTTAATTGATGATCTATTTTCATGAAAATGTTTCATATAAAGTAAAATAGATATTTTGCATTATTCATAGTTAATCTTTTTTTTTTAATGATTTTATTTATGTCATATTGATGTCAAAATAGTGGCAAAATTTTTTCTTATACATTCATTTTCTGATCTTTAAATACAAGCGTATATAAATATTCTTGTCTCGAACGCCCTCTTTTTCATATCGCAGAGGCTCCATGTCATTTTATTGCAATGGAAAAAAAGTGTATGTACGTCAAAGTGTATGTAGATTATCTCGACCCGAAAAAGTCAATCTATTGATAATAAATAACAAATAAGAGATAATTTAACAAAAGGAAAAATATTTAGAAACGAATGGTACTAACTGGTGAGATGATTCTGAAAACACGAGATTTTATCGTTTTCTTTTTCTCTGCCTTGTCATTATCTTTCTAATCTAACAACATTTTTATTAAAGACATTTCGACTGATATTATAGAAGAAAATCGGATAAAATGACATTTGCAGATCGATGTGCAAATCAATATTTTCCATTTCTGTCAACAACTATTAATGATCAACATATACAACCATCTTCAATATTACATGAAAGTTAAAAGAATTTTTCTTTTAAAAACATATCGAATGATTAGATAGACTTGTTTTGATATAAAAGAAAATCGAGATAAATTAAATCTTCTAATAGATTACACCTATTACTTAATCTAAGTTCATACATATTTTATTAATTGATAAGGAGAACTTCAATTTTTCTTTATATTGAACATTCCATTAAACGTCTGATAAATAGATCTTATCGATAGATTATTACACTATTATATTATAGAAGAAATCGAACTTAAACCAAAGAGAAATTCATTGCTAAGTTGTTGATTACACTAAAAAATACAATTTCCCTTTTAGATTTGATTTTATTCATACATAGGCTACCATGATAGATTTAGGTGATCTTGTAATTCTCAATGTTGGAGCTCAGAGACATAGAACCTACATGAGAGTGTTGAGTGTATCCTTGTGAGCATCCTCATTCAGCTTTTATGCTTTTAGGTTCCAACGTTGAGAATTCAGAGATCATCTACATCCGTCATAGTAGCTTCAAATCGATATCCGCACCCACACACTACACCTCACCCTACACAATATATTTGTCCTGACTGCAATGAACTTCTATGTATTGTTGATTGTTTCAAATACAACCATTCAAAGATGAATTACTAATGCTTTTTTGAGACAAATATGTAATTTGTTCGTAAAGAAAAAAGATCATATTTAAAAGTTTCAATTTTCGCAAAAAAAAAGCCGGGACTGAAAGGGTTAAGAGAAAATTCAACTAGTGAAAGTCTTCGATTAAACTATGAAATATTAGCTTGTTTCAATATGTCTTTCTGGTTTATTTAGATCATCAAAATAATAATCAAATTCCTTTAATATATTAGATGTATTATTTTGAGGATGTTTTTTTGAAAATTGATTTAATAATATCATTTATAACTTATGGTAGATTACGCAGAACCAATACCAATAAAATCTAATCAATTATAAATTTATGTTTTTAATTGATCATCAAAATGAATAAATAAGTAATATGTTTCGGATATGTATCATTTTTATTTTTAGTTGAACATGAACAAGATGATCTAGATTAATAATTGATAACAATTTTAGTAGAAAAATAAAATAAGAATATTTTTAAAAAAACATCATTTAACTATAATTTAGTTAGAAAATCAAATAGCTTTATTATATTTAAATTCCAATGAATTTTACTTACCATTAGTAAGAGTTAACATATGACGATACAATGTAGAATTTTAAAGAAAAATATATTTGAATGGATTTCGAGAAAGAATTTAAATAGATAATCAATATTCTAAACAATGTTCTATGACTTTAATATAATCTTCAAGAAAAATAATTTGTCGATCGAGATTATTAAACATAACATTATCTTATCTTCATACGTCAATATATTTATAGATTATTCCAATAACTACATTAATATATTAACGGATGAACTAAAAGCGGATTGATATTTTATAAATCGATACCGTTTACTTTGACAATCGTCAACTGGTATAATTATTAGTCTATCTCAATTTACCAATTCGTCAAAGAAATAAGACGGATTGAGAACTTATTGGAACAACAAAATAATTATACCTTTAAATAGTTCCATCTATTATTTTTCTCATTGACTTTTTTAAAGAAAAAAAAATTCTGAGATTTTAATATCTTCTTCTATTTTTACTTTAGCTAAATAAATTTTTGTTTTCTGAGAAGAGTGTCTACCGGCTTGATAGATCTTCAAACATATTTATTCATTTTGATTCAATTATTTAGATAATTATCATCTTTTTTTTTTTTTAAATATTCTCATTATTATTATTATTATTTACGTTTATTTTTAATATGCTTGATTTGAAACAAGTACCATCATACTCAGTTATATCAACACTATCATTTATTAGTTTTTTTTTAATCTTATTTAGACAAAATGAAAGAAATACATCGTTTATTTGCGGTTATACATTCTACGTCACCTTCGAGTCATTTATTTCTTAAATCAATCTAGAAATTTTCGAATAATTCATTTAATCGGAATAAATTTAGGTAGAGATGTTTTTTTTAATTTTTCTAACTATTT